AGGTTGGTGGGGTGGGGGGGGGGGGGGGGTGGGGGGGGGGTGGTGGTGGGGGGGGGGGGGGGGTGGGGGGTGGGTGGTGTGGGTTTTTTTTGTGTTTGTTGTTTGTTGTTGGTGTTTTTGTTTTTTTGTTTGTTTTGATTTGTGTATGTGGTTTATTTTGTTTTTTTTTTTTGTTTTTTTTGTTTTTTGTTAGTTTTTTTGTTGTTTTTTTTTATTTTTGTTTTTTTATTTTTTTTTTTTTTTTTTTTTTTTTTTTGTGTTTTTTTTTTTTTTTTTGTTGTTTTTTTGTTGTTTGTTTTTTTTGTTTGTATTTGTTTTTTTTGGTTTGTTTTGTTTTTTTTTTTTGTTTTTTTTTTTGTTGTTTTTTTTTTTTTTTTTTTTTTTTTTTTTGTTTTTTTTTTTTTTTTTTTTTTTTTTTTTTTTTTTTTTTTTTTTTTTTTTTTTTTTTTTTTTTTTTTTTTTTTTTTGTTTTTTTTTTTTGTGTTTTTTGTTTTTTTTTTTTTTTTGTTTATTTGTTGTTTTTTTTTTTTGTTTTTTTTTTTTTGGTTTGTTTTTTTTGTTTTTTTTTTTTTTTTTGTTTTTTTTTTTTTTTTTTTTTTTTTTTTTTTTTTTTTGTTTTTTTTTTTGTTTTTTTTTTTTTTTTTTTTTTTGTGTTTGTTTTTTTTTTTTTTTTTTTTTTTTTTTTTTTTTTTTTTTTTTTTTTTGTTTGTGTTTTTTTTTGTTTTTTTTTTTTTTTTTTTTTTTTTTTTTTGTTTTTTTATTTTTTTTTTTTTATTTTTTTTTTTTTTTTGTTTTGTTTTTTTCGTGATTTTTGTTTATGTGTATTTTTTTTTTTTGTTGTTGTGTGTTTTGTTTTTTTTTTTTTTTTGTTTTTTTTTTTTTTGTTTTGTGGGGGGGGGGGGGGGGGGGGGGAGAATATTAGTATTAGGGTCATCATGAACGAGGTAATTTAAAGATACAAGAACATCAGTTCAGCAACATACACATGGCTACTTTGTTGCCTGTTGGAAGTCGTTATCACCTAGTTGCCTTGCTTGCTTATCAAGTTGCTGCTGGAATTCTCTACAAGTTGCTTGCTTGTGCATGATGGCCTGAAATTCCCGTCGATTTTTTAAATTTACAGGTTGTGTCTGCCCTGCAAGAGGTCAAGTACGTAAGTGGTGAGTGTCCTTATACTGGCTACTCATGGCCAAGAAGACACTTCAACAGCAAAAAACAGTTACCATTTCCACTACATACATAAGAGTGCAATGGTTGGCAACGGTAGGTTTGTAATATGGGAGCTCTGGATGGCGCTATTAGACAGGCTAGGGGGTGCATGCAGAGAGAGAGATGGGTACACAATGTAAAATTGTTTAAGACAACACTGGACAAGAGTGTGGTTGAATCGCCCAGTCACCTCAGATGTGCATCACAGCATACAGACACGCATGTATACCTGATTGAACAAGAGTTTGTTTTACTTTGCAGCTATTCTAGTGCGACAAGTATACACACATGCATATGCACACACAGTGGTGAATGCGCGGACATTCCACAACTATACCACTGGTGAAAGGATTCTAATGGGCCCCATTGCACATTCGCACATATAGTCAGTACATGTGTACTCATGAGCCATTCACAAACACTCTGTTCACAGGAAAAGTAGCTTGTTTCTTCATTGAATGGGTGGTCTTACAATGCTTTGCAAGAGCATTGTATTGCGTATCTCCAGATCTACTACAGAATCAGTATACAGCCGGCCTGGAATGCTGCACATCCCGAAAATTATTACATAGAAAGGGGTCTGAGGCACATAAATAATAACCATCTTTTCTTTGCTTTGCTTCTTGCTTCATCCTCCACAACAACCGCTTGGCCAACCAGCATCTAACCACTGCAAGTAGAGGGGTAGAGAAAGCGAGAGAGAGAGAGAGAGGGGGGGAAAGAGTTATACGCAAGTTTCATCTCCATGTGTGCTACTAGTACAAAGTTTGAGAAGTTATGGTGTGGGTTAAGAACATCGATTCTACAGTGCAGTCAACCACAGACTGAGTGGTAAAAACCTCCTTGGCTAGAGGTGAACAGCTTTTAGAGTAGTGTGAATTTCACCTGTTGCAAACATGCCAAAAGTCTACTTCTTACAAACTTACAACTGCCCCTGTTCACTGCACTCCAATAACGAGGGGAGACACCACTGACTATACCTGGTGTGCATGTATCAGTGATACCTAGTGTGCCCCAGAGGGGAGACTATACCTGGTGTGCATGTATCAGTGATACTTGGTGACTCCTAGTGTGTGCCCCAGAGGGGAGACTATACCTGGTGTGCATGTATCAGTGATACCTAGTGTGCCCCAGAGGGGAGACTATACCTGGTGTGCATGTATCAGTGATACTTGGTGACTCCTAGTGTGTGCCCCAGAGTGGGAACTCTGTCTCTCAGTGTAGCTCCCTGTGATGTACATAACACCAGCCTCTGGGCTCACCAGAGAGTGTTAATCAGCGACCTCATCTGACCCAGCCTAGCCACTGTGAACATAAACACTGAGTCCTAGCACCCGCAGGGAAACCCTAGTCCTCTCCCACCCACCTAACAACCTTTGACACTGTAGGCTCCCTTGTGCAGTAGGCGCCTGGGGTGTAAGGTAAATGTGGCCTAACTAGCTGCCTACATAGGTACAGTAAACCAACATAGTTAAAGTAAAGGTACAATTGGGTACTTTTGTTAAGAGTGTACCTTATGTTAACTCACCCTTTCATCTGCGTATGTAGGTGTAGTCATACTTGCTTACATTAGGAATAGATAAGCACACAGGGTGTTGTTTTACAATTATACATTATTATTATACTACCTCTTTGAATAAGGACGGCTGCTTTGTTCCAGGAATGAACACTGGCTAATCAACCACAACTGTACAACTGTTAATTACAGGAAAATATTGCAGGGTTGGACACGGATGATTAACCAGAGCATATGATCGGTAATTGTTTTCACAAAGCAATGCAAGCGAGCCATGCATTCCAGTTTTCATAGTTCACAGATAATTCCCCAGACAGACAATGTCCATATCCTATTGTGATATCACCCTCACACGATTTCCTTGTGGCACAACACCATACATATACTATAGTGGAAAAGAACCATGCGATCTAGCAGGAAACATTTGCAAGAGAAAACCTCTGCATTTTACGTAAGGTAAGAGTAGTCTGCAATTGTGTATTCTGTGAACTTTTTCTAACAGGGACATTTTGTATTGCAGTGGAGCAGTGCAAAAATTTCTCTCTCGTTTAATTAAATTCTGATTTGGCATCAAATTGCGAAAAAGATTCTTCCTTGAAATGTTTTGTTTCATGCATGAACGCAGGCACTGGCATGTGGTGCACATTGTGCAGTAGCACACTTACTACCACGCGGTGGGAAACTATTGGGGGGAGAAAGTTACGAATTTCGTGAATTTTGAACCATCCACAAAGGTTTTCTCCGAGCAATGGTATACGCTGGGACATTTGTAATTTGGGGTAGGAAATCCAAGAAATACTTGTTTGCTACCAAATCGCCTCTTTCGAACATTTCCCACTTACACGGTACAAGTCTGTCACATGTATGGTCTACTCTATGAGAAGTAGCCCAGAGTATACTAATGGCAGCTGGCCTGTGGCTATAAATCCTAAACAATGGCATGCCTCCGAGAGATAATTGCATGCACCACGGATACTGCTCCTCCAATACAGTATGAGCTTGCTAATCCCAATCACCTCGGGACCAGGCGGTGTTAGAATTAGTCGAAAGTTCGAGTTACTGAAAACGAAGGCTATAGCAGCTTAACTATCAGAGGAAATTCTTCTTTCCTTATTTTAAGCGTCTGAGACAACCCAACTGGCGTAGTTCGCTCGTTGTTGGCAATAAAACACAGCACGTGGTCAAGTTCGGAGGTCGAAATGGCTATTGCAACATTCGTGTGCACGGGATTACCGTTCGGATATTGGAGAGTGCGGGTAAGTGGGTTCCGGATTAGCGAGTCGTAGTGTCCGTAAATAATTTCAGCATGATTCTCTGCTTCACACACACACACACATGCCACACGCAGAGCTAAATACTAAGGGGAATCAACCACTACTCCAGTGGCCCTTGAATGAAGACGGTCAGGTGTGCTGTGGGGGCAGTCTCTACCAAGACCCTAACCAAACCCAGGCAGAAATAACCCGCCTTAATTGAATACAGATGGCAATCAGAGACCCTTGCTACTGCTGCACTTCACAAGGGCCGATGGTGTATATACTTAAGTTTCTCTGGAGTGGCAAAGATCTAGTGGAGTTTGTATAAAATCTTTGCCACCTGCAGATTGGTGTAGTGCATAGCCATACTGTTGTACCATAATTCCTAGCACAATTAACTGTTAATAATGGCGTACACTAAAAAGCTTGAAAGCATTAGCACGCAATGTTATAAGGCAGTAGAAAAACAAAGGCATAATATATATTGTAGATTCTTTCAGCATGCCTGCAGATTCCACTGAAACATATTAACAACATAGGCCACCCAGGCAACACCGTGTGTGCATAATTTTGAATGAAGGAGTTCCATGCCCATTTAATGGTAGCATTTTCGTAGAAAAGATTATTTCGGTACCATCTGTCATTCTGGCTAACTGTTTTAATCCCACAGGCACTTATTCATTCTTTCCTAGGGGAGCTCAAATGTGAGATTACAGAAATATCGTGGTTATGGATTGGACAGCAACCACAACTCTAGCTCAAACCGTGATAAAATACGGGACATGGTAAAGCAGGTGGGTGTGTAGAGGAAAATGGCAGTTGTACATCTGTTGCTTCAAGACGGGTCGAATGCTGCCGACGTCTGGCAAGGCGGCCAGAGCGCAAGGAGTAGACGACCTCCCGCCCGAACGGCACACCTACCCGCACGCAGTGACGCGGAGCGGTGGTCGAACGGACAAGAGCGTCCCCCGTACACAATCAGTCTCTGTGGACACTTTACGACATGCTCACCTGCTTGAATCACAATAGCCGCTCTTTGCCTTGCTTTCAGCTTTGCAAACTGCTTCCGGCACAGCCAGCCCTTCACGACTACAGCAGGGGGGAGAGGTGGGTAAACTACACACAACCACAGATCTAAGAGGCAATAACATTAGAAGAAGCTGTCTAGACATAGAGAGCAGCTCGGAGCTTTACTCTAGGCATTCTCAGATGCAAGAAGCACCACGTGTCCTTACTACTTGGTACTAGTTGCTGAGCCCCACAGCTGTGGTCCAGGGCCTAAAAGGTTGAGGCATGAAAGGGCCAGCATGACATGACACACACTGTGTTGCAACTCCTCTGATGTCAGTTGGGGGTGGCAGCTCTGTGTCCCATAATGTGCAGGCGTGTAACTAGATGACTGCAGTCCATTAAAAACAGTAGATGCCTATGTCTTGAAGTGTATCTCTTGCTCAACTCCCTAGGCTCACCACAACAGAGCGACTGCGGGTCCATCAGGCACCCAAAAGTTCCACGAAAAATCAATTTCTACCGTGTGTATTTCCTCCAACCCCAACTAGTCTCTGTGACCTGAGCTTTCTTCCTGGAGATCTCAGGCCCAGATATGATCAAAGCCCTCTATATACCTCAGGCCCTACATATGTAGCATAATGTGGCCTGGTGCACACACAGTTTTATACCAACACCTCCAAGGGGAGTGGGGTGGTAATTTACACTCTACTCTTTGTGAGTGGTTAATGGACACTTCATGGCAGTGGGTCTTGTAGTATGCCACATGTAATAAAAGTATGAAGCAGCTCTGACCTCTTTGAATTGTGGTGGCGTTGTGGTTCCTGTGGTCCAGGATCTTCTGATAGTGGCACTTTGCCAGGAATGACCTGATTGCTGTGATGCAGGGGTAAAATTTGTGAGTATTACCACAAACCACCCACATTGTGTGAAAAATGCTTCGAAAAGTAATGCTTTCGTAATACTACCGAGACTTCTGCAAATGAGCCATTCTGTAGCTTAATGAGTCTCACAGTAGATGCCAAAGGCTATGTATAATACTTACCAGCCTGTATCTTCGCAGCATCTCTGTGCCTCTTTTCCTCCCTCAGTAAAGCTACTCTCTTCCTGGCCAGCCAGCCTCGCACCACTCTCTGAGCAACCACGGCAGCTCTCTCATAGCCGGCCAGGAGCTTCCCCAGCTTCTCAACGTGATAGTACTTCAGGAAGATCTACATAGTGCGTAGAACAATAGCTAACACAAACTTGCCACTATGTACGTACAATTAACTCTCCCCTCTTATGATATTTTATATACTTCAGGAAGATCTGCATAGTGTGTAGGACACTGGCTAACACAAACCTGGCACTATATAACTTTCTGTTGAATAACTCCCCCGTTAAAAAAAAAGAAGGGGAGGTTGTGATATTGTTTCACGTGATTGCATTTGATTGCGTTTTCCAGCTCTAGTGGTGCTGTGCCCTTCAAAAGCTGGGGCAGTGCAGTCAATAGCATCCTGGTCACATGCTGTCTCTTGCAAAACTATCTGTAGTGGGAGCCTGGAATGAGGCTACATAGGGTTGAATATCTCTTGTGGTTTACCCACTTGAGAAAAGAAAAGAGACTCTCAGGTGATTGATGCTTTACCTACCAGAATGTTACTACAATTGTGATTAGTTTTGGGTTGACTATGTCATTCATGTGTGTTCATCTGAAAGAGCAATTACTTTGATGTTCATAAGTACAAACACTAACTGCCTAATTAGCACAATCCTTGGAAGGAGCATTGTGCTCAAATTCTTATTGCAGGTATACCTACAAATACACACTGAATCCCAGGCAGTTGGAAGCTCCCAGGGAGTGACCATACAAATACACAGACCTTTGTCTTTCCCACTGCCCAGGACTTTAGTCCAGTCTTGTTGAGGATGCACACGCAGCTGGCTGGCGTGGCAGACACCCTCTGCGTCATCTTGAAATGTATCACTTTGTACCTAGGTATAATACAGCATGACGTACATACAATGTAGCTAGAGTAAAGTACAAGTATAATAGGAAAGAGTCTCTATAATATAATATACCTCTGGATAAAATCTTGAAAGAGTATTCGATGAGAGAACCCCTGAGCAACAAAAATACACACCAATATTGAAGACACGTTGCATACTACAGAAATACAACCAGAAAATCCCAAAAATTGTAGAACCGGGGATGATCATCTTTGGCACACATTATGAAGGAATGCCCTAAATCAAGCAACTATGATGCAATGAACAAGCAAAGGAATAGCTGCAAGTTGGAAGGTATGTACACACACTGAGAGTCTGAGCCCCACCTCTCTCCTGATGCGGGTGGTCTCAAGGACTCCAGTGTACCGCAGCTGAACCAGGACCTTGTCTGGCTGGAAAAAGTCCGGGCTCTTCAACTCATTGGGTCGAATACACCTGCAGTGGTGGGAGAGGAGAGAGCAGTTAAGTAATGTGTTTAAGTATTTATGTCACAGGCTAATGAGGTATCTGCTTCTGCACTGTGACACTTACGTTCTACTTAGTTGTGTTTGGGTGCTTATACAGCATCGAGGATGGACACAACATAATCTTACGTAATAACCACTGCATTGCGTAATGCTTCTTCTGAAGATGCTGGGTTGCTGCCTTACCCCGCAACAGGTATACGAAGCTTTTGGTAAGTAGACTCTAGATATCAAGTCATCCGCACCCAACCCCTACCTTCCCGTGGCTATATTTGATTTTGAACGCAGCAGATACCTCTTGAAGCCAACACCGAGGCCAGACACGGGCAGACAGCCTTACCTAGGCCTCGAATCTACTTTTGCCACCGTTCAAGCCTTTTTTCCCAGAGATGTAAAGACCAAAAACACGGCTTACCTACTAGAGTACACCAGTGCTGTGAACTTCAACTAGGGTACATGGGGTAAATTCACTTCAAAGTTCATCTGGTATGCTTCAACTGTGGTCTCAAGCAAATGGTGTGTGGTACAATACCTCAAGCAAATGCATGGAAGACGTGCAACGTAATGCTGTTACGCCCAGCTCAGTGTTGGTGCTCCACAAAAAGCAGGGGTTGGCTACAGATGACTTGAAATCTACTAGCGAAGAGCTTTCAAATGACCTGTTTTGGGGGGAAGGCACTAAACTCACTGTCTTCTTTGTTCCCATACATTTCTCTGTACAACATTAACTCTATGCGTTGCATTACATAATGTAAATGGTGTCCATCCTCCTCTGAAACTGCACTTAGCACCTATAAACAGCTGCTATTTATAGTGTGCATGCAGACCTGACAAAATGGGGTGTCCCATTCAGCATCTTGGACATCAGATCCCTCAGAGAGTTCTACAGTGCATGAAACATATCAAGCAGTTTACCATTTAGTATAATATAGCACATTATGTACTACCTCCTTAGCTATCATCACACCAGTGAGAGATGGGATGGTCCTTGTAACAACAAAAATATAGCTCACAACAATGACAGTGTGCTCTCAAACTACACACCTGGTCTCCAAAACCAGACACATTTGCAGGCTTTGGTTTATTAGTGTTCCTGTTCCCCTATTGTACTTTGAAGCCTAGGGACTCTTTGTGTGAGTCTAGCTACGTGGCAGCTTGCAGGATCTTAGTCTTTACTCCATACACCCACAGCCCATTCCAGCCCTAGCCTTCCACCACTAAAATGTGTGAGGTTTGACCGATAACAAGCCTCTACTATATACTCCACTGGCCCTGAAACCCAGCTTCACCCCTGGCCAAATTAGTACACCCTTACTTCCTGCCCTGGTGGTCCCCCCACACAGGATGGCTCCATAGTCTTTCACTTGTCACCCAACTACTATAGTCATATTAATCTTGTTTGTGTGCCTCTGTGTTTGGTGTGCAATCCAACAGTTTGTATGTACTCTACAGTATGTAGTGACTGACTATAAAGTAGGTGGAGACTGTTTGAGAGGACTTGCTGGTGACTGTCCCCCCTGAGGAGAGAGGGGTGCGGCCACGAGGGCTGTGCGGTCCACGAGCCAGCCTAGAGTGAGGATATCCTCTCTCTGCAGATGCAAAGTACTGCAAGAGAGAAAATGCTCAGGAGTTTCCCAAGTGTCTCTTTGTGATACAGAGCATACAAGGCAAACTAGAGTATAACAGGTCAGGTTTAACATTCTGAACAGAACATGTGGTCTTGGCCTTAGCTTAAACTAATGGCATTTGAGCCTCAGCTGAAATGCTTTAACATTTAGGATACTGGAGGAGTATAATATGATACTTGCAGTGGTGTATAATGTACCTACCATTGGAGGTGCCTTGCGACTGAAGAGTGGAGTGGCACTCGGTGGCGCCTTGCTGACGGTGGATGCCGGAGACAGACCTCCTGTGCGAGACAACGGAGTCTGGAACAGGACCTGGACTATGGGGTTCTCTGAGGTTCTCAGTAACTGAGACACGTCCAGCTTGAGGGTGTCCCTGTTCTTCTCCAGAAACCCCAGAGTCTCGTAGGTCACCTGTGGTATAGAGGAGTGGGAAGGCAACAACTATTATAGAGCTTTGTGGTGTGGTAAACAGCAAAGGGTTTCTGCTGGTGAGTGCTGGTGAGTGTGTATTAGGCAACTCACAGGACCAGCATAGTGCAGAATGGTGAAAGTGGGTCCGCCATCTTTGGGTTTGTTGTAGTACCGCAAAGTTTGAAAGTTTCCGTGAAATTTGACTGAAACAATAAACATGGATAGTAGTACGTAGCATAGTCTGTCCTCGTTACACTACTTCATCTTTACCAGCAAGAGAGAGGTCGCTGGCTCGAGGGAACTTGCTCTCTTCGTCCAGAAGAGCCAGCAAGCCCATTGGACGCTGCAAATAAGAAAATAAAACCACACACCTGGTCTGCCAGTCAGATGTATTCAGGGTGTAATTGATTGTAACAGAAGGGGCAGACATTGGCCACGAGTACATAGTAGACTCAACAATACCACTGTTAGCCACTCACTGCAGCTGTACATTATCCCCTCCCTCTTACACACTACCACACTTTCCCATCCCCATATTGCATCATGGCACTTACTGTCAAAAGTAGTTCCAGTAAAGGCCTGTTGTCCTCATATCCCACACGCTTTATGTCTATCCCCTCCTGCTCATATTCACCCTGCAATTTAGAACAAATGTCTACCATAACCTTATTATCAGTGCTGGTAAAGTTACACACTCTGTTGCCCTGAAATGAGCAGCAAATTACTGATAACCTTTACTGAACCTCTGTCACTGACTAGTATAATATACAGCATGTATATACCTGTTCCCAGGCAAACACATGCTGGTTGAAGTAGAACTGTAGCTGTTCGTTGGCAATGTTGATGCACAGCTGCTCAAACGAGTTGACTCTGAAGTTTTCAAACCCGAAAATGTCCAAAATCCCAACACTCCTCACGTTCCCCTTCCTGATTACAAATGGAGTTGTTAGATGTTAGGTCAGAGGGGGGAAGACGACAGTAGCTACATATGTAGTCCCAGGGAGCCACAGCACCAGGAGACCATTAGTCATGTTTTGACAACTACGTATTCTTTGCTGGTGCATGGCCTGATCTTTGAGTTCTTGAACTATACTCATGGTTCTATGGACCTCCAGCTTAACCCATGTTTTTAAAGCTCTTGTTGTTCACTCAAGGTTCTGGGGTGTAATACTCACCTGCCAGAGTGCAGCTCAGGGTTGATCTTGTTGACTATCCAACTGAACAGCCTCCCGTAGAGTGCCTTGGCCATGGCATCTCGTATGTCTATGGCCTGCTCCACAGTGTTGGGTCTCACGATGGTCTCCCCATGGGTTATCACGTGGGTACTGGTGAAGGCCTTGGCCAGGTGCTCTTGCTCCAGACACAAGAGCTGAGCAACTGTGCAATGGGAAGAAAGATGTATTTGGTTGCCTCATGGTCAGGGAGCATGGGAGGAGAGGGGAAATAGAATGTAGGAGCGAGGGTACGTATATTCTATTGCATAATGGTCACCAGTGTGAATAGCATTCCATTTCTGCTTGATGATTGCTCACAGTGTCAGTTTGTAGTGAGAGGAGGACAACAATTGAAGGCCCTTAGATAGAGAATCGCCCCGTAAAGGACATGGGAGCACACTATTGTACTTTCGAAAACATGCCAGGCCAAGTTCTTAAAAACATACCATCGCCGAGTTTGATCTTGTTGGAAATGGTGCTGACTTCACCGATGTGCGAGTGAAAGTCGCCCTCGATTCGAATGTCTCCAATGTTGAGAATGGAAGCAAGAATGGAGCAGACCTGCTCAAACTCCTGCACAATGATAATTTATTGTGTATTATCTCAAACACCTTTTGTAGAGGACCATAGCTAAAGCTGTATTATGGAGGCCTCATCCATGAATCATTTCCTATGTAGGTGAAGTTCCTAGAAGTTAGAAAGTCCCCCAGGCAGCCCCAGAGGCAGCTACACTCTACAGCTTAGTCTAGTCAGCCTCAGGCAGTTGCTAATTGAGATAATAAAGTTACACAGTTGAAAACTCAAGTGCATGGGCTTTATTTAGACTAGCCCCATGCCAATTATCTTGAGGTAAGATGTCATTGCTGTGTGAGGGCTAGAGTGACTCAAGAGACTTGGAGGGAGCTGTAAAGAGGGACCTTAAGGTCCAGAGGACTGGGACAACTCTCAACTGAGCCATTTTCTGTGTTGGTGTGGAGTGAGACTACTCTGTCAGTACTCTGTGCAACAACACCTGGTGTGCAGAGACTTTAACCTCCTCCCAAGTCACTTCCTCCCATCCACCTCTGTACAAACCTCACTGCTGAATCCAAAGAGGCAAAAGATCTTCTCAATCTCCTCGAACCTCTCGGAAGAGACGGCGTTGCTCTTGGCACTCCCTTTCGCTGTGCCCCTCTGCTCCAAGTAGTGGTGGACTCCCTTCAGCCTGTACCTGGCCAATAGCTTGCGGGCACTCAGCCCGGCCACCAGGTAGTAGAAGATGTGGAAGTTTTTCTCTCGCCTGTGGAGGTGATATAGAGAAGTAAACTAACAGGGACAAGATAGGAGAATGCATGGTACACACACACATGGGACATGCAGTGAGAGTGCACAAGGCACCAGAGACCGGGACTCATATGGAGTTAAAAGTCATGCATGACTGAGCTCTGTGTTGACAGGCACCCTATCATACATCCAGCCTGCTCCAGGACAAAGACCACCAGATTGCCTGATGACATTCCTCCAGTCAGTCTTCCATGCGACCTATCTACAACCACTCATCTCTCTATATACCAGGAAGGATTTGGGGCGTCATATCACACACACAGGCATGCACAATGTGGAGACCTTTCTATCTGGAAGAAACTGAAAGTCTTAGCACACAGAGAAAGGGACTTGCTTTGTGTATATGTACCTCTGCTGTGAGACTACTCTGGATTTCTCAAGAAGGTACTCAGAGAGGTGAGCCCCGACAATGCGGCCTCCGGCTGTAAAGTGTAGCTCTAGGTACTTGCCGAACCGCGAAGAGTTGTTGTTGATGATGGTACGTGCGTTTCCAAATGCTTCCACCAATGGATTGACCTGCAGATGTACCGATAATGCTTAAATGTGTTGCAAGGTGAAAACTCATATTATATACCAGTTGGAAAAAAAGCATTTGGTAGTACGATTCTATGATGCATGCTGTGTAGTATTACTTATTTGACCTGCAAATCGTGCACACGCTGTAGCCTGTGTTGAAAGATGAAAACTACTGCTGGAAGAGCATTTGGTGGTTGACAGGAGGTTTGTGTGTTTGTCTGCAGGCTGTGTAACCTTTAATATCTTCTCCTCCAGAACTTTTGTTTCAGCCCGGCCGAGTCTCATGAACTGCTGAACCAGAATGTTCGATGCCTCTGTCTTCCCTGCCCCACTCTCACCTATAATATAGCAGGCAGTAGAGATAATACCGCTACCATTAATAGTCAATCTAGTGGTTTACTAACAGTCAGACATCAGGAAGACACAATTTGCCCCTATCACTGTCAGAATCTTAGTTTCCTACCACAACTTTGCCGAATCTATTAATCTAAAGTCTTCACTAGAAACAGTAGTGGTACTGGGCTTCTTAGAGACAGATAACTATGTACGTTCAAACCTGATATGACGCAGCACTGGTCCCTGTTCTCCTGCAACATGTCGTGGTAGGCCACAGCGGCCACTGCAAAGATGTGCGGAGGAAGCTGTCCCCGATAGGCCCCGCGGTAGTCTTTAGCAATCTGTGATAAGTTAGCAAGCGATCGTGAGGTCTCTTAGACCCTATAGTTTGCTGCAATATTCCCTGGGCTCAAAACAGTCTTATCTTATACATAATATACACATCTTATTAAACTGAAAGAGAAGTGCTAAATACATTCAAAAGTAATGATAAGATGATAAGAGATGCGAACGGGCAATTGTGAGTTGCGTACTTTCTCATTGTAAATGTCCATCTTTTGGAAAGGGTTGATGGAAATGAGGATGTCCCCCACGTTTGTGTAAATGAGCCTCCTCTGGTAGCGCTTCCACAGCTGAGACACCAACACACTCTAAGAGAGGGAAAGATCGATAGCCAGAAAAACTCAACATTAGGGAGTGAGACTGATAGGGTGATACTTACCTCATCCATGACCTCTAGCGATGCAAGGTCGTCCACCATCCTTGACGTCGCAAGCAACTTTAGCTCTTTTCTGAGAATAGAACAGACCACCGTGTGTACCAATGAGGAGGCCTCTATGACATGTAAGTATGCAGAGCTTTAGCACAGAGGTATACTCATCTTGAAAGATTAAAACTAGTGGTGGAATTGACTATACAGTAGTACGAGGAATTAGTAGAATAATCAGTGCCGGTGTGTGGGGTATTAGCATTTCCCATCTCCTCTGTGGGAAGTGTGAGACTTACTTGATGGTGTCAGCTCCAGACACAGAGCTGGAGGACTCACTGAAGCCATCCTTCCTCTCGCCTGGTTGGTACATGTCTATCAGAGTACCCAGCTTACGACGCAGCTGTATAAGAAGTGATCAAGACTAAATTCACACACAGAACAACACACTTATTACTAGACTGCAGAGCGCTGTGGGTTCGAGTCCCACCCAGGGAAGTTTTTCCCCCTTGCCAAACATGTTGTCCTGCCTGGGTGTTGTTGATGTGTTGTTTGCTTTGCACTTGCTTTGTTCCATATTATTATCATCATCAAAATCAACATCGTCATCATCATAGTTTAACCTACTGTACGTACCACTCTTGGGTCTCGTGGGACAAATCTGACAAATTCATGGGTGAGCATGTCGAATGAAGTGGGTCTCTGCTCGAAATCTTTCACCAGACAACTGAGGAGTGTGTGTTTGTATGGAAAATGGTGTCAGGTCTTAATTAGGTATTGGGAAGGGCCTTGTGCCAGTTAGTTAGTAGGAAAGTATACTGGCAGGATATCAAGATATTATAATTATATAGGAACTTGTTAACAACAGCTACTATGGCATAGTATCATCAAACCACTTCCTTCGCCCTCTAACAGCAGTGTGGTGTACATAGCTAATGGCCCTGTAGTGGCCCTTCTTCCCCACAGATCACATCACCAGACTCACAGCCTACTCCACACTCTCTTCATATTGGTATATACAGTATATAGTGTCTAAGTCAATTGCTGTAGGGTTAATGAATTAGTACTCCTCCATTGAAAATCAATACCTACTTGTTAGTATCATGGTCCTGCCCATACCTTGCAATAAATCCGTTGAACCTCTTTGACCAGCGGTTGGGGTTTTGAACTTTGGGTGCCTTGTTTCTGAAAACCAGACCATTGAATGATAACAGAGGAGAATACAGTTTAACCCTCTGGGTTCTTGGGACACTGTCTTTTTTAAGAGGTGTCCCTTACTCAGAAGTAATTTATAGTATTAGTGTAAGGTAGAACCAATGTGTCCTTTATAATATAGAGGGTGTCCTTTATTCAGAGGGTCCTTTTCGGAGTTTCACTGTAACAGATTTACTTGGCGATTTTGAAGAGGGCTCTCATGGGGTGTTCTCCAAAGAGCGGAGGAGTGCTGTCGGCTATCTCGATGGCGGTTATCCCGAGAGACCAGACGTCTGCCCTCAGGTCATAGTCGTACTCTGGCTGCTGCTCACACGCTATCACCTGCTCGTGTGTGGCATCAGAAAATGGTACCAGAACGAATGCGATGCATTATATTGGCAAGAAAAGTGAGCAGTTTGATTATTCATGCATGTTTCACGCTTTTAAAGAATCGCATATAGGTATATGCAGTGCCGTTTGATGGGTCAGACATTGCTGGAAAATCCCACATTCAGACAACTAGGCAGGCTTGCTTCGCTCACCAATTACAGTAGTGGGGGCGAAGCACACCCCAACTCTAGAGCCCACTTGGGTTTAAACTGAGTCCTCAGACTTATTAGGCTCTGATATTCCCTATCCAGCCTAAGAATTTAAGGCTACTTTTATGATGATTTTGGAAAGACCCATGTTTATTAGCTGGCATTTTCACTCTAATGCACATGCACAGAGACCATGTCTGTACGTAATTACCTCAGGGGCCATCCAATATGGAGTGCCTATCCCTGTCCTCCTCCTCCCCATGGTGTTTTCAACTACTGCAGATATCCCTGAGAGGTGGGAAGGATAACAACATACAGGCGCCTGAAGGCTATATACTTATGTAGCGGCTCTTAGGTAAACAGAAAAAGGTAATTGTTGTCACAAGGATTTGGACACCTTCAGATTACCCTCATTAGGGTTGGCTACCCAATTAACAGAGTCACAATCCCACCCACCACTTCTCTATAGTGGTTTTATTATTACAGTTGTCTGCTTACAAACTGGGATTCTACATTAGGGAGACCTTTAGCCATAGTACAGAGAAAGCTGAGAGCAGTCTGAAAAAATTATGATTATTGTGGTAGTAAGTCAGTTTGTAGTAAGTAGTTCAGAGGAATGCAATGTCATGGGAAGAAGCCACACTGTGTATCAGGCTAGTAGGGTCAGGATACCACCAAGGACTGATAAGTGCCGCTGTGGTTGCTGAAAACCACTGCATATTGTTACTTTGTTACACTCTGGTGGCTATTGTTCAGCCACTGACCCGTTGTGAATCCTTATTTTCTTCCATTGAAGCATGGCAGGCTGGAGCTAGAATAATGAAACTGAATTGCCCTCTTATGCTACAGTAATACAGTATCCTACTGAGATACTATTATCATGTATTGTCCTGATCTTCTTCATGGGGGCAGCAAGAAACTCTACGTATAAAGATAGATATGATTTGGAATGGTACGTATGGACTGGATGTTGTTGCAATAACTAGGCACTTTGTGTCACAATGATGTGCAAGTACGTACGGCACTTATGATACAAGCTGGCCAGCAGGCTACCAAAACATAACAAACTATGAATAGTAGTATCGTTTGGGTGGGCGCGGTCTCGGGGGAAAGGGAGGCGTGGCTACTGGATAGAGCTCTAGCCAGGCGCTGGTAGTCATGGCCACCAAACTCTATCAGTCATTGTCACTGCTCATGGACCATGAGTATCATTGGACACAGAAGAATGGAGAGAGGCAGAGGGCCTGATAACTACTATAGCTACTGGACAAAGAACATGAGATGGGCAGGAGATAAGGCTACTGCTTGGTATTTCATAGTATCGGCTGGGGTAGAACTGCTCACTCAACCTAGAAGCCTTACAGCACATGTGAGGCCCACATGTACTCTACACCCACACATACAGGTGATCAAAGCTGTTCCTTCAACTTCATATCATTATGGAACAGAAGAATCTACATGAGCTAAGCTCCAAATTCATATAATACATGGAGATTATGCACACACAACTGATAACACTAAAAACTGACCGAAATCGATGAGTCTCACTCTAGCGTCGCTCGTGAGGAGAACGTTTTGCCCCTTGACGTCCCTGTGGAGGACGTGTGCCCTGTGGAGGTAGCTAAGTCCCTCCAGCACCTCCCTCAGGATGTAGGAGATGAGGTCTTCCGGAAGATTCTCTGCCTTGGCCCTCATGTTCTTGACCAGGTCCGTGACTGACCCTCCACTACAATACTGTAAGAGTGAGAGGTTGCTTCATGGTATATACTTCAGTGGATTCAGTCCACTTTTACATACAACCCCTGAACCAAGACACATTAATACTCTGGGGAAGTGGAGTCTACATGGCTATTGGACCAAACAAACTGGATTTAGTTTCTCATTGCAGCCTGCATGTGCACACACGAACTACCATACGAAATGTAATTAATCCCTCTGAGCCTAGGGACACCCCCCTTTATCAATGGATGATTATAACACTGAGTGTGAATAATAAAGTCATTAATGACAACCTGCCCGCATCCAAAATGAAAAACGGGCTGATGGGGTTGAGTTTGCTTGGTCTTAGTGGCTACATGTGCTGCTGCACTCTTGGTGAACTGGCTCACCTCCATAACAATCCAGAGGTGATCATCTGCCTGCTGGTCTCTGTAGAGAAAAGCTCCCAAGAAACTGACAATGTTGGGATGCTGAGAGTGGTTTTGGAAAACGTTCAACTCGGCTTTGATGTCCTCTTCTTTGTCCAGATTGGCTTCCATCACCTGGCAGAGTAGAGATAGAGAAAGAGAGTGAAAGAGAGGGATAGTGGCAGGGATGGGTGAGAGAGGGAGGGAAGTGTTTGGAGAGTGTGGTGGTGGTATATAGCAAAGAGCAGGTGTCCAAAACTCTGATCCCAAGGTCCCAAGCCTTCACCTTGACAGCTGCAACATCGCCAGTGAGGGCATTTCTTGCCTTGTACACCTCTCCATAGTTGCCTTCTCCTAAATATCAATGGAGAGAGGGACAAGAGAGACAAGCATCCCTCCCTACAGGTTATCAACTAAGGTGTTAGTATAACTATCTCACTCAGTCTTGTGCACTAATGCACCGTGGGGGCAAGGTGTGTTGTGCGCTAGTTCGGATGTTCGATAGCATTGAACCTTCCCGAACCACCCCATTGGGAGTGAGAAAGATGTGAGGAGGCCTTTCACATGTGTTTGGGACGGTTTGACCACACTAAACTGCACCCCTACCGGGGAAAAGGAGGAGAATGAGGCCCCACAGTAGTTGCCCACGGCACTGTCGTTTTCATCACTATGTGGAGAGGGAGCTGCTACCAGCTAAAGATGTGGAGGAGAACATGCAGAAACAGATTGTGTCTGTTCAGTTCCTCTCCATAATAGTGTTAGTAGAAAGCACGCCACTGGGCGAAATCGGGTATGTCTACAACTTAAGATCAGGGCACTGGATAAAGTCTACTTTGCGCACGCAAAATTCCAAGTGCACCTTCGCAGGAGGAACAAGGTGTGTAGGGTTCTTGTGCGCTAGTTCGGGGTGGTTCGACCACATCAAAGGTATGAGTGGGGTATTTTCGGTACCCCAGTGCGTCCTGTTCGGGGTGGTTCGATGTGGTCAACCACCCGAACTATGGTACAAACACCCTACACACCCTCTTACACATGCAAAGGTGCACTTGTCCACCTTGTGCCAACTACCAACCTGGCTCCATGCAGAGAGGGACATGAGACCTTATCAACTAAGGTGTTAGTTTCTGATGCATCATCCCACTCAACACCCTATGTGCAGTAAATGCACTAACTTGTGCACTAGTAAGAGAGCAACTACTCGGAAGTGCCCTCTTGGGCAACAACGAAGTTTCTAATAGGATAAAGCTTGGCTTTCTTTTCAACACAGTATACCCTTAGTGTGGTAACAGAGTTCCTTTGTTAATGGCAATGACATGAGGGATGAATTACACAGTCGGCAACTTTACTCCAGACAACTACTGCTCATTGTGGCCCAGCATAAACATGTATCCTTGCAACTTAGAGCAGCTCACCAATGAGCTGAACTCTCTCCCACACACCCTCTGGACTGGGAAGGCCCTTCAGAAAATGGAGACCGTCGTAAAACATTTCTTCTCTTCCGTCAGTCCTCTTCTTCCCTCTCGGAAACTGCAGAATTGGGTGAGTGTCCTCACAGATATTAGCTCCGGGACTTTCAGTGCACGTACACAACTTACAGGAAAGAATGTCTGGTACGAGAAACACGTTAGAAATATCTGGGAAGAACCATTCCCAACAAGTGACCACTCCTAGGTTCCTTTTGGCTGCAGTCCGCCGCTTCTGTCTGTGCGTCCTCTTGCGGCACAACTGCGAGACTGTTTGCAGTAGGAAGGGCGTGGCTGGTATGCTTGGTCAGCAAGAAAAAGTGGGAAGGGCTTATCTGACCTCCTCCATTTAGAGCACACGCGCCTCCACGGTTTTTAGCAGCATTCACCGATGGCTGTTTTCCCTAGGGAAGAACGCAGAGAAACGGCTGTCACGGTGCGGAGGAGTTTGCGTATGTGTGTGTGTGTGTAGCTGCAGTAGCGCAATGTCGTCGTACCCGGGCTCTGAGTCCTACTACCTGGAGGCCCACCGCAAGGAGCGCTCGCTGCAGCAGAGACGACTCATGAGCGCTCAGCTGCTGAGCTGCAATAACAAAGGAGCTCCTCGCTCGCACACGGAACCTCTCCACATCGTTAGTAGCTACGTAGCTCCAAAGCTGGACTAGTGGTGACCACTTCGTTGTGGAAGTAGCTACTTTCTTGTATAAAAAATTAGTGTGATAAACCGTCTCATCATGGACGGTTAGTGTTTATCTCTGCAGCAGCGAACAGCCGGAGAGGTGCTGGGATTGAGTTCAAATGCCGTGTACAAAGACCAATACTACAGGGTCGTATACTCGGCCAGACTACCAACCAGATACAGTGTAAGGATTGCTGTGCTGTATGTACAACCCTATAGGCTTCAATTCTTTCTTCAGAGCACTGAGTACATGATGCAATGGTAAAGTGTGCAACTCATGAACTGCGACGTGACTCTCCCATCATACACAATTACACGTGCAAACGTAGCTGTGCATACTAGGTGTGCTAGAGATGTTTATACTTTTTTAATGGTTTTGTGCACATCAATAGTAATTTTGCGAGCGAGTTTCTATGTGTAGCATGTGCCAAAGAGGTCTTAACGATTGCAAAAAGTACAGGAGGCAAAACACATGACAGGCTAATGGGCAATCACGACTTCCATACCTTGGCTGCTGTAGAGTGCAGTTTTTTTAACAAACAGCTTTTATTGTACATGGATAAATGCACAGCAATGATTATAATAATGAGCAGAGTTTGAAGCAAACTGATAATAAAAACATGAGGAGGACAATCATTGGAGGGAGTCATTGTGCGTCAGGTGAGCCAGTTTCTGTGACTTCCAGTCCAGGATCCTCTGTCTCAGCTGGTTGTCTGGCTCCAACATGTCCGCTGTCAGTGGCGACCTGTTGAATGGATCTGTCCCATCGCTGTGTGGGGCGGAGGAGAAGGAGGGGAGGAGGGGGTGGGAGGGAGGGAGTGTGAGATATGGATGAATTGAGAGGAGAGTCAAAGGGAAGTGAGGGGGAGGGAAATAGGGAAGGAAAGGCGAAGAAGGAAATGAAGATGGTGATGTTATACACAGCTGGACGAGAGAAAGAAATTTCTGCCCAGGAGACAAACTAGTTTTCCCCTGGAGTTGTATATAGCTCAATGCAGCTAGTGTAAGTGACTCCTGCTCTTAGATTCAAAACCAGCCTGGGTGCAGCGGAACCTAGGTTGATCTGGTGATGATACTTTTGGTGTATTTGCTGAATAAAGGACACGGTAATTGTACAAAGGAACATTTTCGTGGTCCTGCCACCATGTCCTTCATATAATATACAGAGGTTCCACTGTATGCACATTTAACTCCCAGAAGAGAAACTGAAGCAAAAGGAGGTATATACAGTGCAATGCCGGGGAGCAGGGAGAGGGACGACAATGTGCACCATGTGAAGTGTCACCTGAAGAGATGTCTCATTATATTCGACTTGTCCATTGTCACTCCTGAGGTGGGCAAACGAACGGGCTCCTTCATCAACTCGCTCGTTACTGGATCAAGAAACTCCTCAGGAGCCTAAACAATAGCGATATTACAAGTCCTGTACTAGTGTCCAGTGCACTGTAATAATACGTACATCGTCTAGGGCACTCTCTTCCATTTGAAGGCGGTTGGAATATTTATGGACTCTGTCAATGAGAGATGTCATCTTTTCCATCAGCTCCACGTAACCCAGATTCCTAAATAATAATAAGCCATTAAAATAAATCTGAGCTCTCTGCTTGTGAATACACGTCTCGTACCATAGTAACCTCGCTGCTATAACATGCCTATAATGCAGAGTGTCGTGGGTTTGCATCCAACCTAGGGTCTAGAGTCCATGATAAAACGGGAGGGCAGTCTTTTCCATCCCCTCGTCTATCATGCACTCCTGTAGGATATATAAAGCTCTTACGTAGCTGTGTCCTAGCTGTCATTGATACTTTGCCTTCCTTTGCCCATGCAGACTGTTACTACTAATAAACTATGTCACACGGATGCCCTGTAGCTACACAACGTAAGAGTCTGCTTGGTCTACAGAGTGTGCCATTGAACAACTGGATTGAAAGCTGCTGCAGGTTTCGACTGCCATGCGCGACTGAAGCAGAGTACCTCAGAGCAGCAGTTTTGAATCCAGTCGCTCACAATGTTCAACATAGAGGTTTACAAGGATATGCAAGTGACCTCATGATCCTTGCGGACTCCTCCAGGAGCTCAATGGAGAATGAGCGGCCGTCTTGTGGGAGGGCCCGACAAAACTCAGAGCTCTGGCCCAGGTTGACGTAGATGGCCACGATGGAGGACACCAGCTCCTTGGGCTTGAAGTGAAACTTGTCCATGTCTTCAACCTGCACACACAGGCGTATTACGTAGTACGTAGCAGTAGTGAGAGGAAAGTGTGGAGGATAACGACAGGAGGAGGGCATACTGTACCTCTTAGAATGGACACTCTGAATAAAAGAACCTTCTCCATAAAGGCCAAAAGCCCAACAGTCGGACACACATAGTGCACACCTATAGCATAGCTTCTGCCAATCTTTTACCATACGAGCACATACATGACACTTATCACATTTCATTCCACCATTCACATCTGAGTAGAGGGCACCTTCGTACAAAGGATAATTTTCGTGGTCCAAGCACGTCCTTTACACAGATGTTTCAGTGTACATCCCTTCTCATATCGCCGAGTTTTTTCCCGCTCAACATGGCACAGTGTATAAACCTCATTTTGTTCACAGTTAAACTAAATTCACACAAACTGGATGCTTAAACACAGTAATGCAACCCATCCATCTGTGCTTCTCTCATGCTGAGGTATATACACGCAATACTTTACGGCAAATCCAGGCCAATGGCTTGATACGTAGGTTATTCCAGTTCTCAGTGAGCGGCATGGTACAATATGCAGTGCCGGTAACATTATTATGTACACAAAATTTGAAGTTCAGACGACTATACGAGTTTGTATACAGATACGTACCCATCAATTCAATTGAGAGATGACTATAAGTAGGCTGACTTCCCATGCAAATTATATATAATTATAGAGAGCTGAAACAATGAAAAGCACTGAAGTGCAAACCCTCGGCGCACTGTGACGCGCACGCGTAAGTAAACGCATGCGCCGTACCACTAATTGATGGGCTTGGTTTAGTTTTAGCTGTTACTCGCGGTCTTTTGCCAGCTCGCGCAGAGTCTGACGCGGGCTACTAGATAGTATGCGAGAGGCGATACACGCCCTGCGTTGCATCTTCTGGTGCCTCCGAAGTACGCAGAGCACGCGGATCGATCCGACTGTGGTAAGCCATCCCGTCCGTTGTGTATTTGCATATTGGCTTTTTTGCGCTCTAGCTTTGCAACGGAGCAGTTTCAGAAAAAAACGTTCGAAATTTCTGGCCTTCATTGCCCGTTAAGTAGGTCGTATCCTTTGTGAGACGAACAAACACCCGAGAAGTGAGATTGAGAGTAACAGACACACAGACACACACACAGACAAACCCAATGAAAAGCACTGAAGTGCAAACCCTCGGCGCACTGTGACGCGCACGCGTGAGTAAACGTACGCATGCGCTGTATCACTAATCGATGGGCTGGGTTTAGTTTTAGCTGTTACTCGTGGTCTCTTGCCAGCTCGCGCAGAGTCTGACGCGGGCTAACTACACTACTAGATAGCATGCGAGAGGCGATACACGCCCTGCGTTGCATCTTCTGGTGCCTCCGAGATACGCAGAGCACGCGGATCGATCAGACCGTGGTAAGCCATCCCGTCCGTTGTGTATTTGCATATTGGCTTTTTCGCGCTGTAGCTCTGCAACGGAGCATTTTCAGAGAAAACCCCACATATTTTCTGATCTTCGTTGCCCGTTAAGCGGGTTGTATCCTTTGTGAGACGAACAGACACTCGAGAAGTGAGATTGAGAGTAACAGACAGACAGACAAACCCAACTACAGTAGCCCTCGCTGCGCATGCGCGCCGAGGGTTAACTACTGTAACCCTCGCTGCGCATGCGCGCCGAGGGTTAATGACCAGCTAAGAGACTTACATTGAGCTGTCTTCTCTTGGGTCCCACCAGCTGCTTGAGGACGTAGTTGAGCATGGCAGAGATGCGGTCCACCATGGACGGGATGACAAACGGGGCCTGGAGCTCTCTCGTGATCAACTCCAGGACGTCGACGGTGTAGCTGGCCAGCTGGTTCCGGTTGCTCGCCATCACACTTGCCTCCTGCATCTTCTGCTGGTGCTGTGACCACGAGGATGAGCGCATCCACTGACTTCCCGTAACACCATAAAATTTCAGGTTGTTTCGTGACACAAACTTTCGCGAATCGTGCAACAGATTTTCAGGATTAAATGCTTTTGCGAACACAGTCGGTCTGCACACATGACACGCACCCACGATACTCTGCACTCTGCACTCTAATACAGCATCCTAAGGAATCACGGAAAGTAGTCTGCTGACCAGAGACTAATTGAGCCAGTGTCAATAAACGGTAGATTAATTCACATGTGAATAGTTATTACTACCTCTTTCTTCTGCTCGTCATTGTAGGAGTCCCACTCTGATTGCCTCTTTCTCTGCAGCTCTCCTATCAACACCATGTTCTGCAGACATTGCAGCACTATAATACTCACTTGTCTCATGCCCACCCACATAGGGAAAGAAGCATCTGGTAGCTATCTATAACCTGGTCCTAGAGGAGGTTGCCCACAATCAACATTCCTAAGCTGTCCGCGCATGCGGTTATAGTGTAATCAAGTATCGTAGCTGCGAAAGGAAGTGGCTCTGGCTGGTGTTCAGGCGGGCCAAGACCTTGCTATCTCTCGATTGTTTATATGTCCAAGTGTGTACCACGGAGAACTCTCGTAGCCTTGCAAACGCCAGTGTGCCGTTCTGCAGAAGTGCTGACTCAGCGGGTTGACTGGGTTGCGTGGGCGAACATACATCTCTAAGGCCACGTGATGCAAGCGATGACGCGTGCACAACCTCCTCTGACCTGGTCCTAAATACGTCATAATATTGGTAGTATCCAAACCACTCTTCTACAGTGAATAAGGAATACCTTGGGGACATTGCAGAGGTGTCCTTTACTCGGAGACACTAATGTATTAGTATAGGGTAGAACCAAGTGTCCCTTATAGAGAGGTCTCCTTTGTTCAGAGGGTCCTTTTTCTGAGGTTGCACTGCAGTATATGCAATGCATACGAGGCCTCTTCTATCGGACTACGGGCACATGGTGTTGAGTGGTAGAGATCTCCATTTAGAGCTCTAGGACCAGTGCCAATAGTTACCAGAACCCAGGCCGTGATACACGATGCGACCTATGTTGCATGCAACTTCAAATGTATGGGTATGATAGACTGACCATGCATATTGTCTCATGTTGTAGGGACCCGTCATTCCCATAACAATGAAAAGCACTGAAGTGCAAAGCCTCGGCGCACTGTGACGCGCACGCGTAAGTAAACACATGCGCCGTACCACTAATTGGTGGGCTGGGTTTAGTTTTAGCTGTTACTCGATCGTGGTCTCTCGCCAGCTCGCACTGAGTCTGACGCGGGCTAACTACACTACTAGATAGCGATACACGCCCTGCGTTGCATCTTCTGGTGCCTCCGTGGTACGCAGAGCACGCGGATCGATCATGCCGTAGTGTATTTGCATATTGGCTTTTTCGCGCTCTAGCTTTGCAACGGAGCGTTTTCAGGGAAAACCGTTCGAAATTTCTGACCTTCATTGCCCGTTCAGTAGGTGGTATCCTTTTTGAGACGAACGAACACTCGAGAAGTGAGATTGAGAGTAACAGACAGACAGACACACAAACCCAACTACCGTAACCCTCGCTGCGCATGCGCGCCGAGGGTTAATGACGTGCCAGTGCTTACACGCTCATACACTATGAAGTTGCGTGCAACACTGTCTCACTCAACAAATAGCATCCCTTTTCTTTAAGATTACTTCTTCACTCCTTAAACTTGCTATCTATAGCACGCATGGAGGAGAAACTTGGTGCGAATGTGTATTACATCGTATTGCGGCCTTAACCTCCAGTCCTTCGTCCAGCTGAACCGTAGCGTCATTGACGATCATGTTAATGAACCTCAGGAAAATGGGGATCTCCTGTTTGCTACCATTGTATTCGACAGCCTCTGTAATGAGGACGTTGATGCTGGTCTGGTAGGTGGGGAGCTTCCAGACAAACTTGAGAATGTTGTACATTGGGATACGGTATTCTGAGGGAGGGGGAGGAGGAGGAGGAGGGGAGTGACAGGAGGAAAAGAAGGAGAAGAGAACGGTTCAGGTGTAAGAACAAAGCAGGGAAACAAAACGAGCGGTACAGAGAGAACGAACTCTGAATAAGGGACACCTTGGGACATCTGTCCTGTATTCAGAGATGTCATTTATTCCGAGGTACGCAGAACAAGGTGTCCTTTTTTTCACTGAATATGCATACGCTGGATAGCTATAGAAAAGTGTCAACCCCCACTGTTAATCCTCAGCTATGTACTGTATGTATACTTACAGTCTTAGAAAATCATTATTGAATCAACTACCCACACTGG